TTTCCCAACCTTTTCCGAGTGATGATCCCGTTTCATAATGAAAAAGTAGCCTGCGATCCCTGTCACATTTACATAACAGATGTTTTTTATGAATACAGAAGACGCATCAAAAACAGACTTTTCAGATAATAATTCTAAACTAATATTTAATGCGATGGTTGCTTTTGCATCTGGACAACCAGCCTAAAAATTTGTGGCTGAGGATTTCTTAAATTCAACCTCATATCACCCTCAACGTTCAGCCTGTTTCCCTTTGTTTTGGTATGACATATCGTTGAGAATCCAGTTTCGCAAAGATGTGTAGAGGCAAATGGAATTGAAGGTAGAAAGGCATGTATTGTGACATTTGAATGTGACTGGTGCATAGCACATCAGAAATAAGTCACCAATTTTTCATAGAACAAATAATGTGCCGATGAATCTTTGCGCAGATCCAAGAACTCATCCCGTACTTCATCGGGAATTCTACTACATTCAGGAAAACAGAAAATGTATTAAGTGCCAGTGCAGCTTCTTCTGTAAACTCAGGGTAGTACCGCTGAAATACCTTTTGAAGGAATTCAAGGGGCTCATTTTCCTCATTCAAATTTCATCCAATTAATATCAAGATTTCTCTGCCACACTGCAGAGTTTCTCAAACACGGCAGTATTTGCAAAATCTACTTTATGATACCACTTGTACAGCTTTGAGACAAATACCAGTAGATTATGTTGAAATTGGATAATGGGTGTTTCTTTTCCCTGAGGTTTCGAGTTCAGCTTATTCAGCTAAAATGTCTGCTAAATGAACTACTCTTTTCTTTCAACCCTCGTAGTCAAGTCAAGTTTCCCTTGCACTGCCAGTAACAATTTGACTTCCTTTTTTCACTCAAAGCCATGACTGATAATATCTCCTCTCGGGAACCAGCGCACGGCAGTGTAAAAAAGAAGAGCCTCATGATCAGAATTCATGTCTTTACAAACGGCTAACGAGGGCTCAAGATTCGATGCAATTCACAGATTTGATCAGAAAATCAAGCACATCGTGCAGAAAAGCTAGAAGAATCTTACCTCAAGGACATATCAGTGAATCATTCAATGAGTGCCCATTGCCTAAAGTGAAGTTCTTTCACCTTTGTCTGAAAATTCGACTTTGACCCTTGCATAGCTGGTGCTCCATCTGTACGAATCCCACAGAAATTTCGACCATGGTCCTCCAGTTTCAAAAATGGTATTTATCTTCTCCATAATATCTTCACTTTCTGTAGTAGTTTCAAGTGCACTGCAAAACAGGAACTCCTCTTTGATCAACCTGAAAAGGAAACATTGGAGAAACTTTGACTTCATTCAAAGCCTCTTCTTTCACGTCTACGGTAATCTGAAATGCGCATATGAATAACGTTATTGGGCAGAGATATTTGTCGCACTTTCTTCTTGCTTGCTCCTCACGAATTGGCTCCAAAGGTTTTTGGCTTGGCAATTTCCAATGCGACTTCGTGTGATGTGTGTACAGATTGTACTCTGAAATCGGACCGAGCTTGATCCAAAACATCAGATATCCCTTATTTAAAAAAAAGCATTTTATGCGCTGTCTTCCCGTTTGTGACTTACCACATAATTGTATATTTTTATTATAAATGTTTAACTATACTTTGCGGAATTAATGATGACCATTGGATTTTAGAAAGTGCAAGCATTAGCTAACCTGGAGTGGCCAACTAAAGTGGTTGACTATTGGTGAACCATGTTGACGTCATTTTGCATTAGACGGTCCATTACGTATATTAGTGAATTACATAATTATATCGATGGCGGCGTCGCGCGGAACACGCAGCTGACATCCATCCATCTACCTTAGGAGAGCAA